CCAAATAGAATAAGAAGCTGTTTTTCTGCAGGGGTAAATTATGTGGGAAATACTAATGTTCTTTAATACGGGTAGAGATGGATACCCTTCTTGACATACATAGAACAAAGCCACACGCACTACAAGCTTAGGCTTTCTTATTCGCCTTGTGCTACCGAAAGAGGGGGGTGGGAGACCGAATATCCAGTTGCGACGGTTTTTTGTCCCGGTAGGCTCTGGGCACGTGAGCCTATCTAGCTAGTGACGTCTTAATTCGACGATGCACTATAGCTGCCCAATATTTCCGATCCACTCTAGTACCAACCATCGCAGCACGTATTTTCAGTCTCTGGTAACAATAAAAATAACGCACTGAGGGACTGGATCACCAAGATCTTGTAGATCAGTCTACTTTTGCTGGGGTCAGTTGGGAAATGTGTAGGCAAACATGATTAGCATGTGGGCAAACGGACATCTAATCATAGGCGCAGCGCGGAGGCGTACTTTGGGCTTATCCTGTGAAAAACGATTGAAGATTGTTTTTCCAAGAAATGGGTCAGCACACACCTTGTCTGCCAGGATTAGACCAGAGACAAAATCTGGTCTTCCGGCGTCAGAGGAATACTTCCGGATAGTTGCAAGAAGGGGGGGGTATGCAAGGCTGAGAAAGAGACTGGCATTTTGATTTTCCGACATTTCGGTACTGATAAGCACATGCGCAGTCTCAGATGAGGAGAATAAATAGTTTGGCTTAGTCCTACACTGTGCAAAATAGCACGTGTTAACTATCCTACTGAAAACCTTTTACGATTCCTTTTATTGGAAAAGAGAGGAGAAGTTCTTTAGGAACAAAATTTAGAGTTGAGGCAAATGTTCGCGTCCCAGGTATGTGTATAGACAGAGAAGGAGAAGATGTTTCCTTCATCGGAATCGTCTGAGTTTTTCGGCGATCGTCAGAGAAAAAAGCTTCAACGAAAAGCGGGCAACGCTGTTAGGGGCAGGGACTAATCAACGTTATGGTGGAGGGGAGGAAAGCGCCAATCTACAACCAGTACCTCATTTTGGCGTTGTATGCCGGCGCCAGTTCGATAAATCGATAAATCGAGTTCTCCTCCAAAGCCCGGCTTCAATCAATTATCAGCCTGTCTTGTTGCCGACGTGGGCAATTATCTTCGCAGCTGCGAAGTGATAGTGGTTACTAGTCTCGTAGGTGTGGCCAGCCACTTGTGGCAATGCATCCACCCGTCTGACGGCAAGCTTATGTTCGTGAATGCGCAAACCAAGCATGCGTTCCAAGACACCATGCAAAGCCGGGTCATGTGAATCAAGGACCGATTAAATTGAAGTGAACAGTCGGGCGTAGTGTATCGCATACCACGTCTAAACTGTCCCAGAAATTACACAGGACAGACTGGACGCATGCTTGCTTCGCGCATACACGAACAAAGGCTGGTTTTAAGACGGGGTAGCACATTATCGCAAGTGACTGACCACACCTACGAGACCGGTCACTATGAAGCACCGTCCGCCGTCGCACAGCAGCGACTAAGTTATAGGCAGGATATAATTACGGTAATGCGATCGCTGAACACTCCACTACCACTGATAATATCCTCGATCGCAAACAACAGGACAACGATCCCTTGACTGAATAGTTTAGGCGTTGGATTTTTAAACAACGCTGCGTGTTTGAACAAGAAGAAAGGCCGCGTTCTCAACTTTCATCTCAGAACGACCTTATTTTAACTTTTTAAGGCAACGGCAGTCCTCCAAATGCAAAAACGTGCAGCAGGCTGTGTCCAATAAAAAACATCCGGGACCGTTTTCAGAAGACACGCGCATGAGTCGTCCAATGTAAGCTGGCTGATTTTCTTCCCTGGACATTGTGCACGCAATTTATAGAGATCCTAAAACAGCAGTATTCAAGACTTTGGCTAATTTTTTGGCTTCAATTTTTTGCGAGACAGAAGCTTAAATATCAGCAATTTTGTACTTTTTATGGACGTTCTCAAATAAAGAGTACCGGTTGGTTTCGTTTGACTTTTTAAATGCCTCCCTTAAATAATGCCTACTAGGCGAGTAACATTACTGAAAAAGAGAATAATGACTAGAATGGTCATATCTAGCTCATTAGCTGTCCTCAGCCAGTCATATTTAAGTCCGAGTTTTTGTACCTCCGAGATTCCAACATTTTAACCTATCAACCACGTGCACGTTCTCCTGTCGGTAAGGATTCAGTACATTAGCGACAGTAGAGAGGCACTAATCGATCACATTACGGGAAATGCTCGTCCCGCTGAATCCTGGGACACACATTCGAGCCCCGACCGTTATCACAAGACAGCTAGGCAAAATAACTTTACAAAATCTGACGCTGGACTTCCAACCAGCGGGTCACAGGTTTGAGCCTCGGCGTTTGCAACACCCGGTGTTGGGTATGGCTGGTGGAT